GCTTTACAAATCACAATATTTGCCAAGTACTGTACACTGACAACCGAGTGTAAAGTAATTATCCATACGACTATCATAAGGATAAGCAAAACAGAGTGCAAAAATTTCACGTCTTTAGAGTAGTTTATGTGCGAATCATAATTTTTGTCATATTTTTTCTTATCTTCGTCCATTCAGTAATCAACGAATGGAATGTAAAAAGTCTAACCATAAATGCAGCTGGCTTTACCTAAAAGACTTAGAAGGGGCTGCCTGGCTTCGCATCACACATACCGTATTACCCTAATAACATTAAATACACATTTGAACAGTACAATTTGTATGCGACTGCTCGGCAAATTTGGAAAACGTAAAACGTATCCGGAACTTCTACATCCGGCGACATCAATTTGTAGTCTGTATATCTCTGTTCGTTCTTTACGGCAGTAAAATGAGTTAACCAGTGTTGCTGAAACTCGCCGATGGTTTGGACAGGTGTCTACGAGTGGACGCTGTCATTATGTTAGTGCTGTTGGCCGAGGCATCGAGTGCTGGCAGCACTTGCATTTTAATTTGAATCTGGATATGAGGCAGCCGCTTCCACATTCGGCGCAGTACACGACGCAGTTCATCTCGGTACTCGGTGCCCATCAGCAGGAAAACCAGCTATAAGAGAAGATAGCATAAGCATGAAGGCTAACACCATGGGAAGATGCACTTAACGAAATCTTTGCTTAATCTCTAACGCAAGAAAACCTGGAAAACCTATACCCAATGCAATTTGTATTCTTTAGCACAATTTGTGCACTTTTAATGAAGTTAAACGGGGAATAAAGCATCTTTGCTTCGTTCGTTACAAAACTTACCGGATTAGTGGTGTACCCAATAATCTGAACATTCCCGAAAACCAGCGGCACCAACGGACGCTGAACCAGATGCGGCAAGGCGGTGAGCGTGATCGGCCATACAAGATAACACATCAGGTTCCAAAAAAACGCCACAAATACCATGTTGGCTTTCTGCAGACGTTTCTTCTCACGCATCTCGCTCGTTTCGTTTCGTTCCAACGCTAACATTCGCCGTCGCTTAATATTATTGGCAGCCATTCTTAAATAAATCAGTGCGTAACCAGCAGCGGCCGCCGCCAGCGGGATGTAATAGCCGGCAATAAAGTTCAGCAGGCCGAAAACATCTTTCTGCAATAATCCGCATGCTCCATTGGGCAGCACCGGATAATGCACACCCACCCCGAAGGACCCCAACGACGCTAGACACGTCGAGCAGACCCAGATGAACGCCACGGTGACATTCTGCCGACGACTGCTGGAAAAGGCGCGATACTTAAAGGGTAGGCAGAGCGCCACCACGCGGTTGCCGGCAATATAGGTCTCGATCCAGTTACTACTGAAACGGCAACTCATCTGGATCCACATGGTGACGCTACAGTACAGCGGAGCCGTCGTCCATCCGTTGACGACTTTCCCGTAAATCGCCAGGGCACTCAGCGGATAGCAGATCAAACACAGCGCCGTGTGGGCGATTAAACAGTGCCCAATTAATAGACCACATCCGGAGCGTAAACGCTGATTGGCCAAAATCAAACAGGCCAGCACGATATTCATTAGCGCCCCGCTGTAGCACTGCAGAAAAAATGCCGTCGCCCACGCAATGCCCGTTAATGGAGGGAGATTTGCGGGGGGTTTAGTGATGTTGATGAAAACAGCGCTGGTGACATTCACCGAACTATTCATGTTACAGTTATTGAAAACTTGGCAAACAGGAAGACCAAATAAGCAGCTTTTCAACGGGTTACCGAAGAAGCAGATATATGGAAATGAAAGTAACCAGATTGCAGAATCGAATTATATATTATTACGAATGCCGGTTGTGGCGACTGTCCTGCTTCGCACTGACGTTGGTATTTCAGTTAACCGACATTTCTTCGCACGGCTGGTGCGAGCGAACAAATTTCTCGAAACCGGTAAACATCTTCATGGAGCACATGCTTTGGTGCGCAGTTGCAAATGTGATTGAAACTATTTTTAAAAATCCCGCGGACAATTACTGTCACGAAATAATTAGAAAATAAATGGCAAGTCTAATCAGAGCTTCCGTAAAATATCGCTTCCGTATAATGTATTTGCTGGTGCAATTATGCGTCCCTGGAGAAACAGGGTGTCGATGTCATAATTAATTTTCAGCCTAACTAAATCAGAGATTATTTTTCAACGTATTGAAATCCAGAATCGTTTTCCATTGACAGCTAACAACGTCAATAAAATTCTGGGAAAGGCGAAAAACAACTAGAAAAATCATATGCGTGATTGTCTGAGAAAACGGTTAATGACAAATGGATAGAATGACATCTAGAGCGCAGAGTTACAGTTACATAACGGCTTTTATATGACGAACACGTTTAATAGCAGATTACCGAGAATGTTCCAGAAAAAGACAGCACTCAAGGAGAAGAGCCTCCAACTGATGGCGTTCTCCATCACGTAGTAGCGGTATTTATAAAGTAATGATGACATATAGTGCGGCCTTGGGGAGCATCTTAATTGAAGAAATTAGCTGCCTATTGCGTGAGCGCCCCCGTGATTAATTATTCGCAAAGGTTGTGCTAACAGAATAAGTGGGGATAAACCGCAGCCGAGGCAGGTATGAGTGGCTTACTTCCTAAGTCTAAACGTCACTGACTGCTTTCAGCCTAATATCTTTCCTCGGCATTAGCTATAACATTTTTGCGTAACCGGGCCGATATAATTTTATTATTTCGTTCCGATTTGAGTTGATGTATTTTTTAATTTATCCAGAGCGCTTTATTTTGAATGTTATCCAACCAGAGACGCGTCACCGTCCCCCCCCCCTCAGAAAAATTTTATTTTTTTTGTAGGATGACAGATTAACAATAGAATATACCTAAAAAACATTTGATCTGCCATGGTCAACAGCGAGTGGCCAAACAAAATTAAAAGTAGATACGCTATGCTATATCCCAGTGTATTGCTTCGTACGATTTAATACGAACCCGGCTCTCTGAAACTGTGGTGCCTCGAGAACGTTGTTGCTAATTATGGCAATCCGATCAGTTTCCGAGAAGTTTACTGCGTACGAAATGAACGCATCCTGCGAAGTTTTCGCGTCGTAGTGGCGCATTCGTGAAATAGCCGGCTGCAGAGCAGCGTTGTGCTGAAAACTATACCTCATTTTACGTACGTAATACGTAAGCGTATTCCGCTGTCTGCGTAATAGCGGAACCACAAGCCTGTCCAGAAAGGGCGAAGCAGCGCAATTGGGATGAAATCACAAACAGCAGTTTGGGCATATCAAACTCGTCACTCCGTGCTACCGGTAACTACGGTATGCAACTTATGCGGCAGCGTTACGCTGGGACGGGCTTCGGGCGTCGTATTATTAATTTTATGAATGTTATTTTTATTTTAATAATGTTTCTTCGTAATTCATTTGGACAGAATTTATTAATCAAGTTTATTTATGGGCGTGGTTTATTTGGTGGACTGGGCTATTCTACGCTGGAAAAGTAACAGATTTTATGTGTTCAGGAAGATCTAGAGCAACCTCCCCATCAAATCGACCGGTGCCGTGTTACCCATGACAAGGGAATTGAAACCTGAGCGCATAAATCCAGTAAGCGTATGGAACGGAAGCGTCAGTGTGGACCCTTACAAGCTTGAACTGACGTAGGCATTCATTAGGCATAATTATGACAAGAAAGATTGGACAGTCCATTGGAGAAGTGCCAAACGAGCATCAGCAAATTGTGGGCTCTTAAAGTCCGCTACAAAATTTAAGGAAAAAATCATTCTCAGACATTGGCCCTGGAAAATATTCAGGTTATTCTTGACTTCTTACCCTAGCTGAAAAAGCTAAATATCAGAGCTTCTGTGGTGGTACAAATATTCCTAATCCCTTTCAGTACAACCATCCTGTAATGGCGTTTTTGTCGTTCTCTCGACCAGTGTGGGAAAAATAAAACCACCTTTACGCAGACTGCGGACACAAGCAAACCCAGACATGTATCGACTAACGCTGTGCGGAACAGCGGAACAGTGCTGTGATCAGCGACCTATCGGTAACTGCTGAATCGACCAACCATCGTTCATGAACAGCAATATTACCCCTTGATAGAAATCCGGTAATGGGATGAAAATCCGCTGCGCGTGCCTGTGTAATGGCTAATGGCTAAAGGACACAGGCTCATGTGTACTTTTCCCATTAGCAGCTCAGCCGAAGCTCTTTTATTCATCGTATTACGTACCTGGTTCCTGTCCTAAAGCTGCTTAATGGAGATACTGGTGGTCGTAACCCGGAAGAAAGACGAAAAACAATATGATGGTTATCGGAGACATAACGTAAAATCTTCGGTTTTACCGATATCCAAGCGTTTTACCGATACCCAAGTGTTACCTGCGCAGACAAGCAATGCAGCGCTCTGCATTGCATACTTTATAGAGACCTTCATTAAAATCCATAATTGTAAGCATATAAATCGCTAAGGTATAACTTTCTAGTAAACCATTAGAGCAAACCGTCTAACTCTTAGAGCAGTAAATTTAAAAATTTAAGAAAATGCCAGGACGGGAGCGTGGTGCGCTTCACCGCCGTTTTAAGTTCTGATCGACTACCCGTTTGCATTGGTTCAAAACAACCACGTCATGACATACTTAATAAAGTTAACCGACATACTGTAATCTAAAGTCTAAACGTACTGTTTGCGCATGCAGCACAACACATGACGTAATATACGTACAGCAGACATAAACATGATGCCTATCAATGAGATATAAGCCGTCCAGCTATACTGGTAGATATTTTTGATTGAGATGTCCGTATGTACTGTACTCGTATATTCGGCACATTTACGTTAATGATCTTGTACAACTATGTAGTGTGGCACTGGTTTACTAACGTGGTGTGAACTACGGAAAGCAACATCAATTTCTGACAGCAAGTTAATTCTCTTGCAGGAAACCGAGACATAAAGCGTATGTACAGCTTATACGAATTTAACACTAAAGAACGATCGAAAACATCTCTAAGACCAAAAATCTTGTTCCCTTACACATCGGTTACTTGTACTGGCATAATGGCATTTAGATAGCCAAATTTAAATGTCATGCCGTTTCGTAGGCTACCGTGAACCGCGAGGATGAGTACAGACCAAACAAGCGGAATCGACAGAAGATTCGAGCAACTTGAGATACTTCTACCATACGGATATGAATGCACAAACGGTATCCCATAAAAAGCGGCAGTGTTAAACAAAATTAAATTTGTACGCTTCCATTCCAGCGCCTTTTGCATGTTGCACGCCAAAGCGACGGCTACGATTAATCATCCAGGGAATTCCGGTTGAGTCCGTACCGTTTCAGCTGGTTACAATGGGCCGTCATTACTGCCACCAAGTAAGCCTCACTCCCATACAGTGTGTTATAGATCTTTATAGCCTCTTCGGTGTACTCAATGCTTAGCACGATGGCCTCTATTAGCTCTACCGGGCAGTCCGTTGACGCCTGCCCGCGAATTTGGCACTTGACTTCGAGTGCATTCAACCACTTCTCGACGAAGTGGGACGCATAGCCCAGATAATTCGTCCGCTCCGGGTGGAATACCGGAAGAATTTTCCTACAAATAATATGGAAACTTTATTGTGCGGTGACCCGTCATTTCGTTGACAAAAATTCGCCGACCATCAGTAAGTCCGACAGACACGACGTCGAGCTAGCGTTTAGCTGAACCGACTTAGTTTTCTTAGGCTTATAATTCGAAGGTTTTCGAAGGTTTTTAATGTTTCCTTAGGTTCCTTATGAGTAGGTTTCTTAGGTTTACTTGGGTTATCAAGTTTTCAGGTTTTCTTTATGTTTTTTTAGGCTTATATTTCCTAAGGTTTTCTTAGGCTTCTTAGTTCTTTTTAATTTTTCGGTCTCCTATTTTTTTTCAGATGTCGCCCTCGTGACAGTTGGCATGGAGTTAGAAGTAGTTGTCATTATACTAATACCATTCAGTCCTCCAGACAGCTGGTATCAACAACCCAAACTTACCTGATACACTCGATGCAGCCTTTATACATGGACCAGGCTTCCTTAAAACGCTGTTGTTCTTCGTAGACATCGGTCAGCGCCCACCCGCAGACAAAGCGAAGGTGCGCCTCCGGCTGCAGAACATCCAGTTTATCCAGTTCCCCGATCAGCTTTGTCTTCAGCCGGTTAATTAAGCGACCAGTATTATCACTGTCGTCAATTTCCTGTGCTATCAGCGTATAAAAATTCTTCTGATGCGCTTTCACAAACGCCCGGTACTTAAGTAATTGTGCTTCGTTAATAGCGCCGCATTGTTCACATGGCAACAATGCTCGGTCATCGCTGGGTATCCGTTCCGAGCAGCCGTTGGTGGAACACTTCATGGGATTAATCTCGGCGTCCTGTTATAAGTAATGCAATAAACTTTAGAATATACGTATTTATAGAACCGCCACAAGAATAAACAATCGATGATTGTACGTACATATTCCGTAGTGCATTTGCGGCAGACGCAGGCTTCTTCGTTCTCTTTTTCAAATAACTGTCGGCGCTCCTCACGGGGCAGAACGAAGGGAGTGTGCGTCCGGTCAGTCACATTCCAGCGCAACTGCAAAGAAAAAACGTGGTCATCATTACTTATCAGCAACTAAAAAGGAGATTTTTGAATCATTGGCCGATACATCTTTCAGTCCAGTGTAATTGGCGATGTCCTCCACTGCTACCCATCGCATACAGCGGCCCCGCATAATCCTCTCGGCATTGTGATCCGAACACACCCGCACTGCATCCCGTGGTAGAACATCAGGAAACAGCGCCCGTCCCAGACAGTGAATGCCGCAAAGTTTGGCGTTACAGTCCTTCATAATGTGTGCGTTGTACTTCACCCGCTCTGAAATGTTCTGCAGCTCGCCCTGCGAAATGCTGAGAGCACCCCCTGGCAGCTCTTTAAATGCCGCTTGTAGCAGGCCCTGTACTTCTGCCAGCTGGAACCATCTGTGGGGGTCCATTAATTTTATTCGATTTGTAAAGACACCGCATTCGTAATTATGGCTTTTTCACAAAATTACAATTTTTTTGTAATTTTTACAAAATTTGTTATTGACGTCTTCGTCGAGAAGAGGCCCCTGTTTTCGACTTCGAGGTCCGCTGGGAAGGGGTCTGGACTAGAACTCCCGGCAGGAGGCGAGTCACCAGGGGCGGAATAATTTAACATTATTTTTTCGGATTCTTCACCTTTTAAATTTTTTAGAAAATGTTTCCGTCTTTTTTTTTCGAACTTTTGAAGCTTTTATCAATTTTATGCGCTGTTTTAAAATTTTCACCCTTTTCCAGGATTTTTTCATAAATTTTAAATCAAATACGTAAATGAAAATTTAGTTCCGCCCGCACCGAAAGGTGCGCTGCGGCTGGACAGCCTACCGGATCCCCTCCCCGCTTCCAAAAATTACGCCGACCCATAACACTTAGCACAAATTTCTTTATGGAAGAACAGCCTTCAAACGTATAAACGTATGGTTCTTAATTGTCAGTTTAATATCACGACAGGACTGCAAGTACGGTATTGCAAATTGTTCCCTGTAGTGTACTGTGTACTTAATTGAACAATTTAAAAGCTTACTGTGTGAATTGTGAATTCTTGTTTGGAGGACAGGGAAAGGTACGCAAAATCTCTTCGAAAGCGGAAGATGACTTTCCGCCAGGAATTTCTGAATCCTTGCAGGCGCTCGTTCTCTGCAAAGTTCCTCACTGTGCACAACTGGTGTTTTATTTCCCACATGTACAGCCAGTAACACATTAGATCAGCTTGCGCAGATTTTCTGAGTATGTAGCTACATAGATAGGATGATCAAATTTAAACGCTGAAAAAATATCCGAAATCAATTTAGTATCATTGGTGTGCAAATCATACACTGTACCGATACTGTGCGCATTCTGCGCATGCAAGATCCCTGCATACAAAATGTAACCTCTCTCACACAACTCACCTTCACTCGACTGATAATCTTGAGGGTAAGGATGGTATCTGCACAGAACAGGCAGAGCTGTTCACAATGATGAAGACCCATGGAATTTTTAACGTTATGCAGCTTCTCTTCCCAGTCTGGCTGCCGTGTCATTTCCTGATGGTACTGATAAATACCGCGCAATACTGAGCATTCGTACTTGTGTTCGCGCTTCCAGTCGATGCGCTACACAATGTAGAGATCTGTCGATTGTTATACAGAGTACATTGACGAATACCCTGAGGTTACTACATTAGCATTTTCAAATCTTACTTGGCACTGAACCGAACAGTACCGATGCAGACGACAACCTTGACATGCCATCAGTGGGGCCTTGGGTCCAAAGCATCCAGCACAGAGCGAGTCGCAGATCTCCCATTCAAAGGCCCACATCCAGGGTTCACGCTCGAGCAGCACCTCACCAGCGCGGACGATTCGGGCAGGAGCATCATCGGGTACTTCCATTCGGTATTCCGCTAACGGGACGGGATGCTGCCCCGACTTGCAGCAGTTGCGGAATAATTAAGGGGACACACTGTAATGAGGCATAAACTTTCTCGCTGTATTAAACTAACAGCAGGGCTTTGTAAAGCTCAGACATCTGTGCAAAAAATTTTTGCAAATAATTGCAGGTTCGGACTCAGCGAATATTTTGATCCAGAAAAATTACCTTGACTTGACAAAACAGTGTGTCGCCCTTACTGGTTAGAGATCTAGAAACCGTTAATGCGAACGCCACTTCGGGCGGTCGAAACGTCAGCTTCTGAAAATCTTTGCTGCATCAGCTCGGCGAAAGCATGGCCGCATCCTACAGCGTGGTGACAGCTGAAAACAAATTTAAATCACCTTAACTCGAACTGCAACCAGTTACCAAGACAACCGTATCAAGGAAATAGATCTATATTATGATCGGCCGCCCCGTGGAACGTGGCTAGAAAAAACCGCTAAGCAAATTAAAAAACCGATTTCACGATTAAACTCAGCATGTTCCAAAAGGGTCCCACATGCATTTTTTTTCCAAAATATCTTTCCTGAGACCATCGTTCGGTACCGGTACAGACACGGTTCAAGGTGACCTTGAAAGACTTCTAAAACATTGTTGCGTGGAGCAATTAATATTCCAATACAGAGAGAGTAGTGTAGTAAGTAATAAAAACTGAATTTTTTAAAAATAGATTTCAGGACTGAAAAGTGCGAATTTCGTGAAGTTGTATCACACCGGAAGCCTTTGTAAATTAAAGAGATGTCTGCCGGTGACATTCATAGCCGGGGCCGGCTTTAGTGGGCTTACCGCATGGGAACTTTTGCTTTCGCGCGTTCTTATGCATAATTACATCGTAATTTTTAAATCGTATAAATTTACAAAGGTATATTTTGAAAGAAAAATAGTGGAAATCGTTCCAATTCGGTGAAAACGACCGACATTTACGTACTACCTGCTACTCATAGTTATACGTTTGCTTGCAAAATTTGGAAAAGATCGATCGGATCGTTTGGATTAGATCTATAATGAGACTTTTGTACCCCTCAATTCTTTTTAAGCATTTTAAAATTTTTGGCACATTTTGAAATTTTCGGCACACTTTCGTGCATGAGCAGAAGACGAAAACGCAACGTTTGCTCGATGGAAGCGAGTGGAAAACTGCGACTGTCTGATCAAATTACTGTAATCAAAAACTCTCGGTGCATATGGTTAAAATTGCTGACAAGGGACAAGTGAGTGTATGACCACGAAGCACGACCACCAAAACTACCCCTGGAATGTTTGCCCATTGTGTGTGTGCAGTACGAGACTACTGATCCGGTCAGCTGAATGAACGGAAATTACGGGAACTGGTGTGAACTGTTCCCAGAAATTAAGACTATGGGAGAACCGAACCGATACCCCTGCTCACCGCTCAGTGCTTGAGGTGCCAAGTGCACAGAATCACACAAGGGGTCACACTTTCCACTGACCAAACCTACACAAGAAACGGGAAGCATGCAACGTAGACCAGATGAGACCAGAACCGTCAACCATCTGTGTCAACGAATTGTGTCAAATGCATTTTCTCGTTTCAGAATGAAATATTTATTCTGAAGCGATCGAAATTCAGAGCTATTCAACCCGTAGTCCATACCAATGGACGGAAATTACAAGACCTGCTATTGCGTATGAACGGGAGACAGTGCGGCATCGCATAGCGTTCTAGTATTATTATTTTTACTATTGTCATCTTCCTGGAGCAGGCAATCCATTCCATGGAATTTCGACAGTGACGTTACAGTTGTTAAAATGACAAAGCTTTGTCTGGTCGAAATTTTGCGGCCTGTATTTCAGACCTCGAAGTGCAGTAAATCAAAATTAATAATACCCGTTCAAATAATATCTGGTACTACTTCATATGTTTGGGGCTGTTCTAGCACGTAATGTAATGCCGAAAGCTCTTTCGACGCTACGCAATCTTCGAAAAAGAAACGCACACAAAAACCATGCTGTTAAAAAATTGACGGAAATAAAAGATTCTTTTAAATTTTTCTTCGCCTCGTTTATATGTTGCGTTCTAATTTTCTAATAAATAAATCTTGGACAATATATTAAACATTACTTTTTATATATTATATGTACATCAAATATTCAAACTTCCGATCATACAAAAACTATTTTTTAGGGAATCGACTGTAGACCACAAGAGCATCTGAGGCGAAGCCGAAGATGACTCTTGTAATATATTGTTACGCACCACTTCACCGAACAGCCACAACAATATGGTTGCACAGTTGCATGCATGCCACTCTTAATATAGGTACTTATTCTTATATCCATATTCTTGTTCTTATATTCATATGCACTATCGCCCGCCTTATACACTGACGGTTTCTTAGAAATCACTCGCAATGATGTCGAAGAAGGCGTCAGTGAAGCGGCACGATAAACACCTGCGACGCGTCTGAATCTACCTCGACCAACGTTCATTAGGATTGCAATTTCATTTTGGCCATCAACGTGTTCATCATTCACCGTGATTGGTATAACGGATATGATAGGGTGCCGAATACACAGTCGAATGAAAACCATACTAGCTTGAAAACCAATACGGTGTCTTGCAAGTTTTGCTTCCCTTTCACCGGGAAAATTTTGCGTTCAAGGCTCATGTGTATATCCCACCCCACCTATGTGTATGGCGCGTGTGCGTGTGTACTGGAACAAGGCTAGTTCCGCGGTACTTCTATGAATCTGTACTCGTATACAAATAAGCGTATGACTTCAGGTGCGCCACTCCAGATTCGGCATCTCTACATAATATTATAGGGAAACATAAAAATGTCACATCTCTTACATCGACAGGTTAAAAAATCGATTGACCTTGTTATTAAAGTGTTAAAACGTTACTAGTATTTAAAATATAAGTTAGCATACACAACACGAATATTAGCAGATATGCGGAGCCTGAGGCCATAACAAAAGTTGCAGCTAAACAATCTCAAGTGGAACAAGAAACCTTGTATTTTCATAATATTATTATGTTTGTATTAATTAACGTACAGACACTGAGACACATAATTATAATACAATGTGTGTTTAATCGTTTTGCATGTTTAATTTCTGTATTTAATCGTTTTGCATGTTTTGCATGTTTTGCATGTCGTTTATTTAATCGGAATTATATTTCTGATGCGTTTCTCTTCCAGTCTGACGCAAGCACTACAGTATATCCATCAATTTTGTGTTCGTAATACTCGATGTAGTGCCTAAAATGAACAAACAATGGGTAAGATGGAATAATCAACGGTGATCTTGACCTTTCGCTAGCATATACTATAATTTTAAAAAAGCCAACAAAGGATGCGACCGATGTTTTGGTGCTCTAGCCGCTGAGAACGAATAACAGTTACTGCGGAAATGTGCATAACCGTAACGTTATGCACATACATACTCCCAGTACGAGGACAATTGGGTGCTGTGAACATACCCTTTTCGATTAGGGTGCAATGAACATCCGACTAGTCAGCGGCTCGCAACACTACTGGCATCACGGTCAGAATTTTAAAATTAAATCTTAGTTTAAAACGCATAGCATCCAGTACGAGTACATATTAATTGTTTGTCGAAATAGACGGTGAAAACACTCGCGGATAACATTTTTATCAAAATAATTTATCAAAATAAAATTTTCTTTGAAGTTAGATCCCGGGTGTTCATAGGACCCTAATCGTGAAAGGTATGTTCACAGCACCTAATTGTCCTCGTATCCATCATTCCGTTAATGGCAAACATAATGCCAATTTCCAAAAGCCCGATTGTGAAGTCACCTTTAAAGCGATGGCATAAACGACAGGAGGGAAGAAAATTATCAAAAGAGAACTGCATTAGCAATACCCATATTTCGTGTGGATCTTCTTCAAAATTTTGCGGCCAACATAGAAATAGCGTCTCGGATTAATACCACATCAAGAAGAAACAAAATTTCATGTGTCCTGCAAACTCGCATTGTTAATCGCATCATAAGCTTATAATCGTAATGTTAATCCTATGAAGATCCTATCATAAACTTGTGCCTTCGCTGGTAAAGCATAGCATAAAACTTACACTCTCTGAATCTACAAATCCGAACGAGTGACTACAAATTTGTCTTTTCTTTGTTTCGTTCTGGTTCGTTTTCCGCTCTCTAAACCCCAAAACCTTTAATACGCTCGATACAGTTTGAACTGTCGGTCGCAGGCTAAGAGAATCCGGACATAATTTTAGACTTCAGTGTATGATATAATAATTGGATAATGATACTATCTGGAAAATTTTTGCGATCTGAAACAGTTTAAACTTTAAAAAAACTTCTTGCAAAAACCTGCCCAGAACTGACCACGCGTTAACAAGTCCATCAAAATCCAAGATAACTATGGTTTGGATACTCAAATTCGATGATCGATCATGACTGTACGAAACTTTTTACTTTCGTAAAACAGTATAAGAGCTTTGATAGCAGTGACTCGACTACAACTATCATCAGATAATCTGAATAAAAAATACATTTTCTATGCTAAATTTCAGTTCGTACGATGAAGAGCGTTAGACGATTCGGATGCCACAGGTCCGCACAATGCATACAACACGGAGTGCCTGTTTGATCATATCCGTGATGTTCTCTGTAAGTACCCTGACAGCGACTACGTGGTTACAGGGGATTTAAACATTAGCGCCAGTAACGCCAATGCACCGTTCCATCACCGTTACAATGATTTGTGCAACGAATTCGATCTACAAGACATGGTGGTCGGCGACACTCGGGTGAGTAACCGTCGGAAAAAGTCTGAAAATACTTCCTACTGTACCAGCTCCAAAATCGATGTTCTGTTGTGCCATCCGCCCGCAAACTACACCAAGTGCAACGCAGAAGACATCGACATATCAGACCACCGTATATGCCAAACAACCGCATCCTAAAAATCTTTTGCCCCCCGCCACAGAACTGTCTCGTATCGTTTGTGGAAACACACCAGAGAAGAAGATTTTGCGGCAAAATTAAAATGTTTCACGATGCGAGACGAGTTCCAAGACGATAACGCCGATGTGAACGCGCAAGTGAGCAGTTTTGTACAAGGTATCTCGAAGTTAATTGATGAGTGCTACCCTTTACGTACGAAGCGAGTGAAACAGAAAGAAGCTCCATGGGTGACCGAAGACATTCGTTTCCTTATAAGGAAAAAGAACGAAGCGTACCGTCGCAGATGTGCAGCGAGAAATACTCAAGATTACGATGTACTCCACAGAGAATACTGTGCCACCCGAAGCTTATTACGTACCCAAATTGCGGCTGCCA